TCCACGAATGCAAAACAGGCAATTATACCTTTTTTCCCAAGATCTTTGACTTTCGTTCCATGCAACTCTACTCTCATACATGGATTGTTTATACAAGTCTTGGGCTCAAATCGGAGAAATTTGGCCGTGATAGGTATTTGTAAGATATGATTGGTAGCGATATTTGCAACGTCATTACCCCAGAACAGCTGAAAAGGATTTAGTAAGAAGAACATTACATATAMAAGGACGATGTAATAAGATTCGTGATTCTATAACACCYGTGTYGTCTGAAGSAAGCTTTTTTATAATGACTGYCTCTGAACTCTGATACAATGTCATCAGCCAATCAAATCACGTTTTACCCAAATATWTTATCAATAGAAATGCAACGTTAATGAAATACAACATATCAAGATTAGGAATAAAAAACCTTCTAACTTTAGCTAATTGGATGCCGACAACTTGGTTTTGTTTGAGCTAGAATTCCACATGAAGTCATAATGTTGATTAGTAGACCCTAGAGCGGGGCAGAATTGCAAGTGACGATCATCCTCTGCCTGTCAAAATGTGCGATTGAGACCGTGTTCTTCTTAGGGTTCCAAAGAGGGTACGCCGCAGCCAAGTTAGGTTAATAGARCTAACCTTTGTTCCGCCATTGACCTTATAAGGTACCCAAACAAGGCCATCTTGACTGTAAGACATAGAGTATCTTTTGACAGCATTGATACTTCCACTTATCCAGTGCTTACTTTGTGTTTCAACCTAAAAGAAAATCATTACTTACTACTTGTTGTACGACTTATCTCACAGTTTTCTGCACAGATGTATTCATATTTGTAAATATGTTATAAATCCTAGTGCTAGTAATTTTGCTGATATTATTATACCTCAACAATCTTCCATTCATCACCGAAGGCAACCTGTAGATATTGTGAAGGATTACAAACTGACGCACACCACCCTCCACCATCACTTTGTAGGTTGAGTCGAGCCATAGCGGCCGAGTTCTGAGGACTTGCACTAGATGCAGCTGTTAGCTGGGAGTCTGGGACTAAACTTGAAGATTCTATGCCTAGTGGTTTTATTGATTCTATAACAGAGAACAAACCGAATGAATTGCCATGCTATGTAGTCACGCAACGGAGCAGAAATCGTGACTTTTTTCCACCGTGATTTTCATATGGGACAACTTTTTTACAATTACGTGCACACAATTGTGCAATCTTATTCTTGTTTATAGTAGTTTTGTTCATTTGAAGTACAATGCATGCCCCTAGCCATTTAAACACAGCATCTTTTACCTTGGTTGTTAGGTGCACTTTCTGAGCCACAAGAAAAAACGTCCACTTCAAACGCTGCCGGAGTTTTAGCTGTGTTTCCATAAGGAGGGAGATTAATTCTCATGAAGCGTGTTTTGATTGGCTTGACTAGCGTCATAACGATAGTGATGTCATTGGAGTCATCATCTTCAAGGGTCTACAATCAGGAATGATATGATGATGAAGGAAAGGC